CCGTGATTTTAAAATCCAACTTTTTATTTGCAGGTTTCTTTTCCTTTTTTTCCTTCTTTTCAGCCTTGAGTTTTTTCATGGCGCTTTGTGTTTCAATCAGCATTTTTTGAGGCGTATCAGTCATGACAGCGGACTTCCCTTTCTTTTTACCGGGTTTCTTCTTCCGAGGTAAGGCCTTGGGAAATGGTCTAATAAGATGTGGTGATATGGTAGAGGACAAGGAAGGAACTATCCTGAGCAGTGATGAAGAAATAATGAAAAGATGGAAGGAACATTTTGAAGATTTGTTGAATTGTGAACAGGAAGAGACAGAGGAGCCAGAGGGTATAGTTGTGGGTGACAGAGCCCAACTGGAAATCCCAGAATACATCACTGTCGTAGAACTACAAAACTCAATTAAGAAGCTAAGGAATGGTAAAGCAGCAGGACATGACTTGATATACCCAGAAATGCTCAAAAGCATGGGACCAATAACTTCAAATATCTTTTTGGATATATTGAATTGTGCGTGGACAACCAAATCAGTTCCTGAAGACTGGGAAATTGCTGTCATAATCCCAATTTTCAAGAAAGGGGATAACAGGGAGTGCAGTAATCACCGCGGTATATCACTCCTTTCAGTGGCAGGGAAAGTGTATTCCAGAATCCTAGAATCAAGACTTAGAGTGCAGGTGGAAGACAAAATGGAAGAGTTTCAAAGTGGGTTCAGACCCAACAGATGTACCCAGGATTTAATATTCACCATGCGCATCCTCAGTGAAAAGATGGTCGAGAAGGGAAAAGATTTCCATGCCGGTTTTATTGATTTAAGCCAGGCGTTTGATAGAGTGCCGAGGAAGGAAATTTGGAGAGTTTTGGCAAAGCTGCAGGTTAAAAATGAATTGATACAGGCGATCAAGAGCTTATATAGCAACTGCAAAAACTATGTTAGAACTTGCAATAAAAAGTCAACTGAATTTATCACAAAGCAAGGGGTTAGGCAAGGAGATAATTTGAGCCCTCTTCTTTTTATTCTACTGCTGGACGAAATAATGAAAAACGTGAAAGCTAAAACTAAAAGTCTTGTGGTGGGAAGCTATCAATTAAGGGCTGTTAAAATTTGCAGCCTAGCTTTTGCAGACGACATAGTGGTTTTGGGAAAAAACGAGGAAAGTTTGCAGCATAATATGAAAATATGGGCAGATGAGCTGTCAAAAAAAGGTATGAAAATAAATGCAAACAAAACCCAAACCATGGTCATCAGTGGGAAAAAGGCCAACCATCAAATCTCAGTAGGAAATAGCCCCTTGAAACAGGTTGAAACATTTAAATATTTAGGCTCAGTTATCGCAGAAAACGGAAAAATAGAAGAAGAAATAAACGGAAGGGTTGCAGCAGCAAGTCGCCTCTTTTGGTGCATAAGAAACCAATTTCTAGGCGAGAAAGAAATCTCAAAGAAAACCAAATTAGCAGTCTATAAATCTACCTTCGTGCCTACCTTGACCTACGGATGTGAATCCTGGACTTTGACCAAAAGACTCAAAAGCAAGCTCCAAGCAATGGAGATGAGGTATCTTAGGAAAGTAGAGAACAAAACTAGAAGGGATAGGATAAGGAATGTTGCAATAAGAAACACTTTAGATGTTAAGCCCTTAAGTACCACAATACAGGAACAGCAACTAAAGTGGTTTGGGCATGTTCATCGTATGCCCACAACTCGCCTTCCGAAGATGATGAAAGAGGTCAAAGTCGAGGGAAAGTGCAAAAGAGGTAGACCGAGAAGGAAATGGGAGGATGAGATAGAAGATGCTCTGCGTGAGAGGGGCAGCTCCATTCGTGAAGCTCTACCACTCACTGCAGATAGAAAGTCATGGAGGCGCCTTGTAACCTCGACACCAACCGGTAGAAGAGGACAGGATTAAGTAAGTAAGTAAGGAAGTGACATAAAATCTATACTGAATGTCAGCTGGGAAACCTGCCTTTCTGAACTCCCAGTGGAAAGAGACTGTGGTAGTCACTCAATTTCACTTTCAAAAATGTTATAAATGTCCTCTTTATCCCTTAAGAATTTGTAAGTTTCACCCAATCTTTTTAAATACTTTACTTCAAACTCAGTCTTTGAAATAGTCTTTACAATTTCAGCAACGTAATACATGACAGTTTTCTTCCCCATCATTCTAACTAGAACAAAGTCCCCAACTTTAACCGCTTCATTTTCTAATAGTGACTTCTCTTCCGCTTCTTCCTTTTCATGCATTTCAATTGCTTCTTTCAGCTTAGAAATAGACTCATCTGATGAATAATCTTCAAGAACTGTGAAATCCTCATCTTCGGAGCTAGAGGAAATAATCACTTGACAAGTTTTTTTTTCTTTTGTTAAGTGCTGGTTTTTTGTGGATAAATTTGATTCATCAAATCTCTCAGTCAAAACGTTATCAGGATGTTCCGTGATTTTAAAATCCAACTTTTTATTTGCAGGTTTCTTTTCCTTTTTTTCCTTCTTTTCAGCCTTGAGTTTTTTCATGGCGCTTTGTGTTTCAATCAGCATTTTTTGAGGCGTATCAGTCATGACAGCGGACTTCCCTTTCTTTTTACCGGGTTTCTTCTTCCGAGGTAAGGCCTTGGGAAATGGTCTAATAAGATGTGGTGATATGGTAGATGCTGTTGGCTCATGACAAACAAAAGCACTTGATGTTGTTGCCTCATTTCCTACATGGGAAGTTGATAGCATTGAGTCATGGTTGATTAATGGACTTGATGTAGTCAGCTCATAGCTTCCATTTGTATTCTTAGTGGTTTCAACTGGTCTGTCTATGACGTTGGAAGGCAAAAACTCTTCAGGTTTAAATATGTTCTCATTTAAGGGGTGAATTCCGGTAATGGAAAAGCCACGGATAATATTTCTTGCAGTAAATGCTTGTAGATAAGCAGCACCAGAGATTTTGGCTACTTCGTAAATTGTCATGGGTTTTCCAGGATTTTACAACATCCACTCAGAGGCAGCGACATTGTAGAACTTCCAGTTCCATTCTATACAAGTTCAATGATTTATTGAAATCCATATTCCACGTGTAAAATTATGCTTAAGCTGTTATTAAAGTCTACTACGATCGAGTTACGTAACACAAGGGGGGGGGGCGAGGGGAAGGGTTTGCCCAAGTGTTACAGTGCGTTACATGGTGATGGGGGGGATTTAGAATGTTGAAAAAGTGGGTTACGTAATATATGTATGGCTTCTCAAATGATATTTATTTCAGTAGATAGGAAAAAATGTAATTTTTAAATGATAACTACTATCATATTCTATAGTAATCAATAGTGATACTGATATTGTATTTCAATTATCTTCCAACAATTTCCACAATGGTTAAATTTATTCATAATGGGGTAGCGAATTTTCATCCCCCTGGAATTTTACCCCATGGGCAAACATGATGTCACAAACCAAATAAAATTCCGGCTGCGAACTTTTGAGTTTCACGACATCAGTTCGATGGATTAAACGCAGAATTAAACGTATATTTTCACGGTTGTGAATTAAATCAGAACACATCAAATTATAAAAACCTAGAGTGTATGGGCCGAAATTTTACCCCCTGGACTTTTACCCCCTTCATGAAGTCAGCTCAAAATGTACGGCCCAGATTCTTACCCCCGGAATTTTACCCCCTGGCCAGATATATAATTTAGTGAAAATTGTTAATTATCTTCGGTTTTAATTTAATAGTTACTATTTTATTATTAAGTAGCATAAGTAAAGATAGGCTACCTTATAATAAAATGTTTTGAATTAAATAAAATCAGAAAAAAGAAAATCAATCATTCATAATAATTTCTATATCTGGCCTTTTTTTGACTTAGGGGGTAAAATTCCGGGGGTAAAAATCCGGGGGTAAATATAAGGCCCGTACATCTTCAGTTGTTTAAACGCTAGTTATATGGACAGGGGGTAAAATTCCGGTTTTTATTGCTAATTTAATTAATCACGCTCTGTCTATTTTCATTAGACTCCCAAATGCGGAGGGGGGGGGAATTCTGCCCGCGAACAAACTTTTGAGCGCTTAGGTTACTAAGTCACAGTGACACCAGCTTTGCCCAGGGGGTAAAATTCCATGGGGATAAAATTCCGGCGACACTTCATAATATCATATTATGGTCAATTATCAATTAATTATATCAATTATTTAAGATGGGGACGCCACTATGTGCGTATTTTAACCCAAATATGAGTGGAGGATGAGTGTAGGATGGGTGGCGCGATCTTGTAGGCTTGTTAGTGACTAAGGCCGTCATGTTCCTTAGACACAGCTGTTAATTAATAGCCCATACAGCTAATGGCAACGAAGGAACCTACAGTTTAAGGTGGAATCCGAACCATATTTTTGCCTTGTAATCAACGAATTGGTCTAATCATAAGGATACTACTGTGGATAGTCATAATACTCACTAGTGCGGACGTTAATCCAGACCAGAGTGTATCACATCCACAGTTCATGCCTATAAATATCCACAATTTGTGACCTCCTAGTAGCTGGTATAATATTATAGTAAATATTACATATTTAAGTATACTAAATAATGGCAATATCTCTTGTTTGACATATTCGTCATGTCAAAGAACCTTTTTAAATAAACTAAATTAACTGACACATCATAAATTAAACAGAGTTTTCCTTGTTAATAAAATAAAATAATGATAGTGGGGGAGCGAGCTGGTCTAGTGGTTAGAGCGCGGGACTTCGGTTCCTGGGGTCCCGGGTTCAAATCCCGCCAAATCAAAAATGGATTTTATTTAAGTGATAATGCCGTAACCCCTAGGTCTAGCCTGAAATAATGTGAAAAACAGTTCCGGGCTCATGCCTAGCATCCTAGGGGAAAAAAGAAAAAAATATATGATAGTAAATAAACTAAGTTGATGTTAATAGCAAGAAACCATGATGAGTAGTAGAGGTAATAAACAAGATATGAGGATGTAATCACAATGATAGTCTATCTGATAATCTGTATGTTTGTGTTGACAGGTCCAACAACTGTGGCTGTGTCACTGCCTCCAAATCAGTCTCAACAAATGCCATATCCCACGGTGGTGCCATACCCTCAACAGACACCGTACCCACCTCAGTACAACCCTCCCCACAACCCGTACTACGGCATGCCTCCACCAGGTATCTAACACACTGGGGCCAAATGTCCAGGCATCTGGATTGATGAGAGAACTTGTAAAAGATATATTTCAATCAAATTTGGCAATTTTGTTTGATATATCTTTTGTTTGATAATTTTGATAGCTTAGTATGGAATTTCATACTAAGCTATCAAAATTTCAATTAAAAATAAACACATCTAATTACCTTCCCTGTAGCAGCAAGCGTAAATACTCATTAAAATTAATTTTATTTAGATAGGAAATAAATCTAATGATTTTAAGGGAATGTTTTGGTAAAAATCCAGCCAGGTAAAAATGGAAATTTACTTAGTCTGCTGGTTTGCTGCGGCGGGGCAGGGGTATTTTTAAATAGCAATAAAATGTGTTCACATTATTAAGAACTACCTAATTTCCTGCATAACCTTGAAATAAACCCTTAATATGGTTTGTATTCTAATCTTATCTTAGTTAAACAATAATAATTACAAGGACAGAGGTTTTAAAGTATAAGGTTTAATGGTACATAAGTAAATGGTTAAAATAGGGTTACAAAAATTGTTCAGGGGTGGGGATTCGTGCTGGCCGAATCAAAAGATTTCAAATTTAAATTTTCAATAAGTAAGTTATGGTAAGTTATGAATTAAATAATCTTTTAGAAACAATGAGTTAAATAGGAAGGATTTTGATTTTAATTAAGAGAGGTAAATTGGGTCCAAATGGATGCTTGAAGAGTCTAGTCTGAGTCAATAACTTAATAAAAATGGAATGTTCTCACCAATCTTCTGTAATAATAATTTTCTTCTTAGTTTAAAGGCTTAAATTCTTCTTTCTTCAGTAAAATTTGGAAATTTTGACACTACTTTCTTTTATAATATGACAATTATTTTCACAATTAAGAGTTTAAACTTTTATGTTCTTCTTGGATGCTTTTAAAACTGCACACTCCTTTTCATTGTTGTAAAAATATCAAGTTATGGGGTTCACATAAATAAAAACATGGTTGAATTTTATTAATAATCTTGAACCCAGATGGATGGTGTTCTGATTGGAGGATTTGTTTTTGAATAATAATTTTTGAATAAGCCAATGAATAAATTTTGATTTTAAATTATATATATGTTGAGACAAAATGGTTTTAATAATATTAACAATGGACATGGATAAATGTTGAAAATATAACAAGATTGAGTTTGAAATTAAAATAAGGACTATAATTATAAACATTGAATTTTGAGTCATTACAACCTGTCTGTCACAATTTTATTGGTGCTCCAGTGTTGGATGTTTAGGTGCATTGTCTATGATAAGTAAAACCTTTTTCTTTTTCCTATTTCCTTTTAAATTTTTTTTACTTGAGGAATGAAGGTTTTATCGTACCATTCCAAAAAAATAGTGCCCTCCATCCAAGCAGTCTTATGATTAGTGTAGGTCACTGGTAAGTTGGCTACATTCTTAAATGCTCTCGGCGTCTTTGCTTTGTCGATCAATAATAAAGGAAGGCGATGGGAACTAGTAGAGTTAGCACAGACCATTATGGTGACGCGATCTTTACTGACTTTGTGGCCGTTCTCTTTTAGATGCTAGGGTTTTTCTCGGCCAAGCTTTCCAATTCAAACCAGTCTTGTCAGCATTGTACACAAGATCAGGGTTGTACATTTGGGTTTCTTCTTGAAATGTCTCCACAAATTTATTGGGCAGCTTCACTATCAGCAGAAAGTTTTTCACCAGCAATATCCAATTCCCGAATTCTGTGCCTATTCTTTAAGCTGCATATCCATCCTGTGCTTGCGTTAAAACCAGCTACACCCATTTTTTCACTGAAGATTCGTGCCTTTTCACATAAAATCAGTCCTGAAATTGGTTGTCCATTAGATCGTTTTTGCAGAAACCAGGTAAAAACTGCATTCTCAAGCTGTTCATCTTTTGCCTTTTTCATTACTTTTTGCGACGAACATCCAACATAACTTTCCAACGTAGTCACTAAACTTACAACCTTTTCACTGTTATTTTTAATTTCAGTAATCGTAGCCGCCCCGACACTAAATCTCTCTGCCAATACCTTTCCCACCACTCTTTTTTTTTTACTGATTTATTATTTCCACTATGTCCTTTAGCGGTAGGACTATACTACACGTTTTTGTTTTGCACTAATTTTTCTTAGTTATTTAACAGCTGTAACTATTAAATTATGCAAATCACAAGTTTGACAAACTCACAACTCGATATAAAAAACAGCGATCCCCACAATAGGAGATGGAGGAGCTAACTGACCTATTTTCGATAGTTCACGTGTCATTGGGTAGGGGGAGTGGCTGCAGGTGGATGCGCAATACCGTACACTCTGTGCATCACTGTCATGTTGTCAATTTATTATAATTTATTATAATATTATAATTATTACAATTGCGTCGTCATTGTGTCTACGCGGCAGTCAGTTGAATTTTGGCACTTGGTTTTAAATTTTATTTTTATATTAAGCTTAGAACCGATTCAGATAATTGGCAATTTGGTTAATGGGTGTTCGGATTATCGGTTTTTTACTGTAGTTGTTTTAACATAAATCTTGAGTTGAAGTAAAAATTAATGTTTCACCTTAAAAATAATAATTTTTCAGTAAAATGGCTTTTTTGGTTTTGCACATATTGTTGAATTCTGAGATGAAATCCACCCTTGAAGTTTTTTAGGCTTTGCAAAACTTCTGCAATAGCTTTTTAGCGCTTTGTCGTGCTAGCAGTGGCTTCAAAGTTATTCATCCAAAGGAAAATAAATTTCCTTTATGGCTCCATAGCTACAGGAATTTCCAATTGTCTAGACGCCTAAGGTAATCTTCCCCGTACTCTTAATAGCCTCCTATTCCAATTATTGTTTATGATTAGAACGTTTTATTTGGTTATATGAGGTTTAAAATAGCTGAAATAACAAGAATTGTCTTAAAATGATCCATAAGAATGAAAAATCTAAATAGGGGGTGTGTTTAATCTAAGGTATATTGTAGAGACGTACTGTACGGAGTTCATATTTGTGGGCCTGGAATTTGAAGATGCTGCGACTGCAGCAATGGCTGTGCTTGGTTGCAGGAATGTTCCGCGGGTTAAATTATTCTGTTTCAGTCCCACAAACATAAACTTTCAACACAAACTATTTAACACATGACATTGCTTAAGTGTTTGAGACGGCATTTAATGCCAGAACCAAGTAAATTCCTTAAAAAACTTCCAGTGATAAAACTGTATTGTGCAGTGGTGTTCAAGCAATGAAAATACATGCCTGATATAGTTTTTTAATAAATGTTAATGTTTGTAGGAAAGTAAAGTAACTTTTACCAGACCAGAGAGGGAAAAGGTTTTTGGGCCTAGGTGCGCCTAAATGCAAAATCCGGCCCGGGTTGGTACAGTTTAAAAACGCTGTGAAGTTAACAAAAAATGTTCAAACTAGCAACAACGGTGAGTGTCTAGTACTGCAATCTGATTTTCTCCCTCTGATAACACCAGCGGCGACTCGTTAGACTACTGATTATGTCGGATTACAAAGTGTTGGTTTATTGAGGGACAACTCTGTACTGCTGCGACTTACGAAATCACATTTTTTTCTTCATTACTATGTATAGAGATTTACTGTAAAATGTTGGGGTTGTGTTTTGTGTTTGATAATGAGGTATCTCTAGCTTAATAATAAACATGTAAAGATTAAGTGAATTTAAAATAACCCCCCCACACTCAGCGAACCTGCAGACTAAGCGAATTTCCATTTTCTAGTTAGATTTTCACAAAAATATCCCCCTAAAATATTCAGGTTTATTTACTTTTAAAATAACATGAAATCTAATGAGTACTTAGGTTTGCTGCTACAGGGAAGGTAATAAGGTGTGTTTTTTAAAGAAATGCTGATAGCTTAGTCAGAAATAAATAAATTTGTCAAATTTAATCTAACTATTTCCATGAACAAGGAAACTACAACAATTTATTTACTTTCCAAAAGAATTAACTGGAGGATTTTACATTTTCAGTTTTTGGAATTTTCCCCGTAACCGTTAGACATACACCAACACTTCTTTTTTTTTAACAGCTCTACAAAATGGTTTAGAAAGAAATTGCAAAGTGTTATGTTTTTGTCAAAATGGGAAAACCCTTATTTTTACCGCTTAAAACCCGTCGTTGTCGTTCCTATAGTCTGATCATTCTGATTCGTTAACTCGTTTAAATAAACGCAGGTTTACATGATTGAATAAAATTTAATCTAAATTGGATAATTTTTGCTTAAGCTATTGTGCTAACGGACACACACACACACTTATTTATATATGGATATACTTAATATATATACTTAATATATATGTATACTTATATATGTATTAATTTGAATGAATGGGGTTTTTGGCCCCTGGGGACCTCAAGACAAAAAAGTAAATCGGTCCAGAGACCAGGTCTTACCGTAAGACCTACGTTAATAGCTTATTCCTTATATGGTAAATATTCTAAATCATGTATATACATAGGTATATTAATATGCTGTCTTAATACAATGACAAATGCCTGAGTTATAGCGATGGGAGCATAATTTATCTAATTTAAAAAATGAACTAGGATATATATATACAGCTTATCATTTGACTGAAAGAGTATTGTTTGACTTAGTTAATACAGAACTTGTTACTGTTCCAGCTTATGGAGTAGCTGTTCAATCAGGAAACCAGCAAGCTTCAGCTCCAAGCGCACCTTTTGTACAGAGTTAATTAGCTTTACTATCAAAGAATCGTTCTGTTAACCTTATATACAAATAGGTTCCATTCAGCATGAAAATCCTTATTTTATTATTACCATATATGTGTTACATCATGTACTTAGAAAAATTGTATAGTTTGTATTAGTTTATGATTAAGATATGAGACAATTTGAGTGTGCTCCATGACTTGTGCCTGTATTTTGTAAAGAAGTGCCTTTCAAATAAAACAAGTTCAATTATTTTAAACTTTAGCTTCTTCCAACTTCTTTTTGGTGATGATTTGCATTTTCTTACCACAATAGAGTACAGGGTAATACACAGGAGATGGACAATTACCACCTTTTAAGGTAGTTTTTTTTTGTTAGTCCGTTAATGAAAGAAAACCATAATTGAAATATATAATTGAAGTACCCTATGTGTGTGGTACTGCTTATTCATTTTGTAAGAAAAAAACTCAATTAACAATACAGTTCAGTTAAACACTTTTATGGTACCAATTTGTATATAATTCCATTTATGAGTGTTAACTGTATTTTAATCTAAAGCTGAAGAGTTTCTCCAGATAATCTTCAATCCTTTTGTTGTAGTAGTTTTATTGTAGAACAATTTTGACTCTTTTGTCTTAGTGTTCTATTTAGAAAAAAAGTGTTCAATAAATGCAAGTAAAATGACAGTTAGTCAAAGTTCAAAAATGTTTTAACAATCAAAAGACTTTGTATTAAATTTACAATATCATCATTTATCGAAATATAATATAGTTCAAACAATAAAAGTGACTGGGAAAGAAGTATTTGTTTATAAGGTTGTTCTTTATTTGTATCAAAAAATTTAATTTGATTTGATTTGATTATTACGTGCAGTGAAGTAAGCCTTAGTTAAACTATTTTTGTGTGGATTGCAGTAAGTATTTGTAGTAAGCAGAAATTCAAGTATAAATCAAACACACTCCTTCAGAAGTGATAAGAGTAATTCATTCAATTAGTGTGTTTCCCAGAAACCTAGAATATCTTATCTTATCCAAGTGTTAAACTATTACTGGTAGACAATAGACAAAATAGTGTTTGCAATGATGGAAAACACTGTAAAGGGGCCTCTAGTATGATTCAAGAGTACTATTCAAAGTCATTGAATTAATTTAAAATCATTACTTTTGGGCTGGCCCAGTACAGGAAAACACTAAACAGTAGATTTTTATCAGTAAAATCTTTAATTGTGAAACACCTCTTGAAAGTACGGTAGATGATGATTCGGCATATTAACAAGCGGGTGGTATGTGGGATTTAGGAAAAGTCCAGACCACCGAGAGACCATTTAATGAGTTAGAGTTACCATAAGTGAATTTGAGACTGCCAAAGTTCCTGCAAAAAGTGAACAGTGACGCTTTAATGTGCTGCTGATTTATCCAGACTGGGCTAATCTCCTTGGGATTATTTGTCATGCTACTTATAATCAGGTCCCCTACTCTGGTTTCCCTTCAAAACGAACAAATCAAATCTTTTACATGTTACTACTAAGTGCTAACCCACTGGTGTTCTAGTAACTCTTAAAATCTTACCAGTGAGCGCTAGCAGTGTCACACGTTTGTATAGTAGCACTCTTCCTGGCTGTCAGATGATGGCATGGTAGCTCAGCTAAGGTTTTGCACTTTAGGTGTAGCACTGAAGTCATGCTTGTAGGTTTGGAATTCTGCACGTGTGCAATTTATATTAAGCTTACTAACGTGCGGCTTAGCCAGTGGAATGGCCCACCTGGTGTCCAGCATTAGAATAGACCGCAGTATCCCCTGGTAAGAGGCAACTAAAAGGGAAGGGGGAGGAGCGCACCCATTCTTTCAGCGTCTCCTCTCCATACCAACATTTGCCATTTTAAAATCAAAAGAGCAGTTTTCTCCAAATTACTCTGGTCTATTCTCATGTATGGCTCTGTGTCCTTTGTCTCCACTGCGTAGGACGTTCGTTCAGGCAGAGGGTACAGCTTAATAAAAACAGGGTTTTCTTGCACATCCCAGGCTTATGAATAGTACATCAGGTCCTGGTCATCTTGGCCGCCAATGACTTGGCTGCCCTATCATCCCGCAGAAATCTCCTTGGCCGTAGTATTGCCAGATGGTGACCAGATAGGGTCCTGGCCACTGCTTGTTTTGGGTGCTCTTGGTTTTCGGGACTCACCATCAATTAAATAGGCTCAATGATGGCAGCATAGTGATGACCATCTCAAGGTATTCGTGTATACCAAGGCAAAAATGTGGTTCGGATTCCACTATAAACTGTAGGTCCCTTAGTTGCCATTAGCTGTATGGGCTATTAATTAACAGCTGTGTCTAAGGAATGTCGGCCTTAGTTGCTAACAAGACTACAAGATCGCACCACTCATCCTACACTCATCCCCATTCATACTTGGCTTTTATACCTACTTTGTATGGTCGCCATTTAATAAGAAAGTATTAAAGCACAACTGTTCCAAGGTACACAATACCTTCCCCTACGTATTCCTAATTTACTTCTATACATTCTGAGTGTTTAATAATAGAACCCTTCCTGTCTTAATGATGCTTGTAATGGTAGAAGTTCCCATGCTGAAGCTTGCAACTATAACATTTCTTAGAATTTATTGACAAATAGTGGTACAATTATGATAGAATGAAATTATTAAAGGTGAAATAAATAATGTAGTTAAATACCGACATGAAAAATGATTCGCTGTTTAAGATAACTTAGGGAAATGGTTAAATTTGATCATTGAAAGAGTAATAAGTGTTCCCACTGAGAACAAATAAAATATAATTATTAATTCATTTTGCATATTCGTTTGTTTGCACAATCAACAAAACACAAATGAAACCACTGAGTGTAAATAAGTCCTCTAATTGAAATCCCAGCAAGAAAAATACGTGCATTGTATTATTCATGTCAATACACATTCGTGTAATCAGTCTTTGGATGTAGATTTGTGATAAGTTTAATTAATTAATATTGAGTTACCTATTATATGAACAATGATGTATAAATTAATGATAATATCTGTCTATTTGTTATGAATATTTAAAGGGTGGTCCATCAATGTACGATTTTTTAAATGGGGTAGCGTTAGAAAACAACATTACTTTGTTTAATTCAGCTAAATCACATACAATTGTACGCCGATTTCATCCATAAAATTTATGTCTTCCAAATTGCCTCCACTGATGTACACTAGCATCCTATCTTAATCGAAAATTTGCGAACACAAGGATTTATTGACATTGGTATTGCAGAGATATCATCGATGATGCTGTTCTTTAGATCACGAATGGTTTGAGGTTTTCTGGGATAGACTTTGCTTTTTAGATACTGTAGCCCCACATTCAGAAGTCACACACAGATGTATCTGGTAAAAGCAACAGAATATTTTCATGCGGATCGTTTTGGACATTGGAGAAAAGATTCTCGTACTTTTGAGATGCACCCGTCTGTACATAAAGACTTTGACCTCTCAGGAGGTTTATTCTTGAGAAAGGATCCCTTACTTCTTGAATTAAACACCCACCTCAAGTTAGTATTCCTAGAGAGAACCGTATAATGGCGACGGACATTGAAATTATTTTGAAAAAACCGCTGGGTGACACGACACACTCACACTCTTTATTTTTGTAATAGGATTTTATGCTAAAGGCATCTAGTGTCCAACGATCCTATGATTGATAAAATGGCATCCTATGTGATGTTGTTTATCGCAAATGTCAACATTTTACACACTTATTATATATTTGCTTCTTGGCACGTCTGGCCGGATGGTGAGTAAGCCTATCTCTTTCTAATTAAAACCTAAGTTATATATTAATATACTCCTGCCGGAGCTAATATATAAATTTGACAAGGTTGATCAAAATATATCGATAAACAAGAAACTACAACAGTTTTCTTAATCTCCTTAAGAACATGGGAATTTTAAGTTAACAATTTTATGTATTTTCTCCATAACCATTGATCATACAAAAAGACTTCAATATATTGTGTACTAAATTATTAGTTTTTTTAAGCTCTTATCTTACCTCCGTGGCCACTGAAACCTTAAGAGGATTCTGGCCTAACATTCTCTTCTATCACTTGTTAGAAGAGGTTCTAATGTACATACAAGTCTGGAGATACCATTCATTACATGGTCTTTTCACTTCATTCTTGGTCTTCCAAGTGGTTGTCTACCTTGTGGTGCTTGTGTTGTACACCTTGGAATACACTTTTAAAATTTTATGTATCCTCTCCATCTCCACTACGCATAGCCTGCCTGCCCATCCGAGCCTTTCCGCACCCCTATTTGGCTTAAAACACCTACTTTGTATGGGCGCCATTTCAATGAAAAGTATAAAGTAAAGTATAAAAGTATAATAATCTGGGTGTTTAAATATATTTCTCTTAGCTCTCTGTTCTTTTGTATCTTACACCTTATCTTGCTCTCATTATTCTCAATTCGGGGGTTTCGGTTCCTTGGACAGTACTCAAGTTTCTGGAGCCATACAGTAATACTAGGAAAGATGTGGTAAGGTATGAATCGATTTTGGTTTCTACTGACACAATGCAGCTTATTGGATAGTTTCCTAGAGACCCGTTGACATTTTCATTGCTTACCAACATTTTGGTATGCCGAAATAAACACATTTGAACATAATCAATAACACGATAGCTTGCTGAAAAATAGAGTTCAATTTTCCACATCATAAACTTATATTTACACAGATTATATTTACATCAAAACTCGATTATACGTACAAGTTTAGGACTAGGTATAGTTCAAAATTAACATTTCCTGAAATTGCAAATCATTTACACGGTAACAAAAAACTACATTTTTAGTAACATTGTAAAAATATACAGAGTGTTAAAAAAGGTGGGACATAATTTACGTACTGATTCCTTGGGTCAAAATAAAGAGAATATCAAGAATAACATTTTTTCCATAATCGCTTCGTTAACCAGATATCCGCCATTTTGTATTTTTTACATAAACATTTTTATCTTTGAATTTTTCCAACCGATATTTATGAACCTTGGTATGTATGTTAATTGGAAGAGACCCATGTTAGAAAACAAATTCGTTTTGATTCAACTTAAAATTTCAAAATGGCGGCCATTTCAATATTTCAAACTTAAACTACTCGAAAATGGCTGATTTTATGAAAAAATCTCAAGAACACTTTTATTTATAATTTTTAATTCCCCATCAAAGAATACCAAGTTCAAAAAGATCGAATAAGAAATAGCTGAAATATT